GGTCCTTCATTTATATCCCCCTTTTTTGTTTAGTTTTGTCAGAGATGGGTATTCCATTGCCATTTAAATATTGTAGGTGTGTGAATTCAGCAAAATAATCCAATATAGTCCAGTAGTCCATAATAGTAGTGTGTTATCCGTAGGATTGGCAGTGTCAGAAGTTGTTGACTTGAGCTGGAGGGTTAACAACTTAATTTTGCAGACCAAAAATTAGAGAAAAAGAAGGGCTACAAGAATAGCCAACATTTTGGCCTTAGCCTTTCAAGGTGAGTGAGGACTCAGGACATAAGTGAACCTGTACTGTAACATCCTGTAACTCAGTGGTGTCCCAAATTTTCTGATCAAGGAGATTATGGGGCCACAGACGAAAGTGATCGGTGATGTAGAGTGTGCCTAAGGAGAGTCACATGGAAAGAAAACATCCTCTCAGGCTTTCACAGAGAGCACATTGGCCAAGCAATGGCCGTGACTCATCCACATGGCTGACACTGACCAAGGATCTACAATCTGAGTACAGGATCTCAGGATAAATCCTGAGGGGATTTCACTGATCTTATCAGACCCAAAAGCTACAACTCTTGTTGCATAGGTCCTGCTTTACCATGGTCTTAACCATCCAGCAGAAAAATATAAACACTAGATATAAAAAGTAAAGCCACATTAATATGCTGAGCTGTAAAAGCACTGTGTTTGTAAAGGGGATTAGGGAGGCCAGCGAGGAGGCCTCTGGGCTGGCCGGTTTGTTTCAGAGAGTGGAAAGGTGATGTGAATATTATCTCTCAGCTTCAATGAGAAGCTGAGGTAAAAGGTGCTGAATTCTATGTGATAGCCTACATTTCCATGAAATTAAAAGTCATCCTAAACAAAGAAAGAAAGGAAAAGACGTGTTGAATAGAGATGAAAAGAGGTGAACACGGGGTGTACTAATGGTAACTCATGGACTAATTCCGACCACTGTTTGCTTTTTGTGGTACTGTGAACCCAGGACTTTGGTCCTGAGGTACATCCTAACCCATTTCATTTTTGAGACAGTGTTTCACTCACTGAGCTGCTGGGGCTGGACTCAAATTTGAGATCCTCCTGCTTCAGCTTCCTAGAGTGCTGGGATCACAGACACCAGTGTGCCAAGCCAATGCTTATTTTTGTTAGGTTTTACTGTAACACAGACGCACCCACTTTGTCCGCAGCTGCTTTTGAATTACAGGAGCAAAATTCGGTAGTTGCAACATAGATTCTTATGGCTTCAAAGCCTAAAATATCCACTAACTGCCCCTACACAGAAAATGCCATCTGCCCTAGAGTAAAGCCCTATAACAGCTAGATACAGTGGTGAAGCCTGAAGGATTCCTGGGTCTGCAGGGCAGACGTAACTGATTTCAGGGCAAATGGACACCTTCACGCGAGGAGGAGCGTATATAAGATGACGTTATTGAATTGACGCTAATCTCCTCAGGTGTGACAGTGGCGTTGCGATTGCTTCGCCCCATGCTTGTCTTAGCAGTTGGATGTGGGAATATTTAGAGGTTTCTGTTCCTTCTTTTATTTTATATTTTTTTATCTTTTGCCAGAACATTTACACTTAAGTCATAGACACCATCCCACCTGTTGTGAGGTGGTATGGTGTACACTTAAGTGTAAATGTCCTGGCAAAAGATAAAAAAAAGACTAAAAACTACATATATATTTAAAATAAAAGAAGGAACGGAACAGAGAAAACGCTACATAGGAGCGTTTTCTCCTACAAAGGAGATGCGGCAAAATGTCATCGCTGGCCAAGTTAACTCAATTAAGAAAAGTGTTGTAATTGGTTAACATAGAGGGGTTTGTTAGACTGTTCTTCGCATTTCTCTGTAGATTCGAAGTTTTCCAAATAAAAGTCTTGTGCGTCCGTGCGTGCGTGCGTGCATGCGTGTGTGTGTGTCCGTGCGTGCGTGCGTGCGTGCGTAAGTTTTAACAATGCCCAGCCCTAGTAAGTTTTCCTGCAGCTGCGCTGCGGCCTTGCTGCGTGGGAAATTGAACCGCGGTCGGGGCAGTGCTTCCTCGAGGCCGCGTCGTACCCCCAGGGGGCGCTGTTCTGCGGGCAGGTGGCTCCCCTTTTGTAACTGGCGGCTTTTGCTCGTTGTGTTTTGCACAGTAATTCCATCAAGCTGGTCAATCTGCTCTCCATATTCATCAGCACGTGGCTGACGGCCGCCGGCTTCATTCACTTGGTGAGTATCTTGCGGAGACCCTCAGCTCCAGCGGGCCTGGAGCAAGCAAGCGCCTGGTGGAGCCCTTTTACTACGCGAAATTTCTCTCGCTGCAGAGAAACTTCAGTGTACTTGTAGACAGGAAAGGAGGCAAGCAACCCCACAACTGTCTGGGTTTCCAGCACTTTTATTCTAAACTGTTTCCAAATGGTGAGTAAGGCTGCTGCTGTAACCTGTGTACTGCCGCCGGACTTTTGTAGATTTTTCATCCTGCCTGCAGTAACCCCAGACAACCACACGATGGCAGTGCTTCCACAGCAAACGGCCAGAAAAGGTCGTGGCTGAGGTTGCAAGTTTGACCCACCTCTCTGTAAACAGCAAATCCAGATTCCTCGGTTTCTCCTCCCGCCCCTTCCAAAAAGCTGCCTTTGGTTCTTTCGCCTGGTTACTTGTCAAGTTATTTCGTACTTCAAAAATGTTAATTCTTTTGTATTAATGACTCTTTGAAAGCCTTCTATTAGTAACTCAAGTTCTTCTCACCTCTCCAAGACAGATTAATTTTTTACCCTGCTTTTAGAGCGCGTAGCTATTGTTGGAAGCGTATTTCTTTCAAAGACAGGCCATTGGAAAGAGGCTTTCGTGGAACTCTGTGACTGAATAAAGGTGACCCTGCTTTGTGCAGCCTGTATTTGCATAACGAGTTAAAGGGGGCTTCCTTCTTACCCCACTTGGGACTTCTGGGATTGTCACAAGAAGGAAGACCAGCCTCGGATGGGAGACAAAGGTGCTGCAGTCCCTGCATCTGAGGGGACCTCCCTGAGCCTTTATGACATTCTCGGCCACTCTTCTCAGCTTAGCTCAGTAACCATGCACTGAGTGTTCAAAGCATAACTGTGGAGGAGACCGCTGTGAACCCCACTTCACCACTCCGTGAAGGACCCTCTGTTTCACCAGGAACTCTCCGTGGAAAGGGTGCTTGGAAAGCCACATCCTGGGCACATTCTGCAGAGGCAGAGCTAGGGCCCAGGGTGGATTGTCCCTGAAGGCCCAGTAGGGACCCCAGGGATCGGCTCTTTGCACTGTGGAAAGGGCTAGAACATGCTCTCCTGGAGGAGCTATACCTGCGGGCCGAGGATTAGAATGGTGCTGGTCCCTCTGCAAGGGAGGGCCGAGCAGGGGCAGGTGCAGAGGCCCTGCAGGAGCAGACCCACCAGGCATTTGGTCACAGCGGCGCACAGGGGACCTCTGTGCATACGATGGATAGCCAGGCTCCTGGACTATAGCACGACCCACAGGACGAGGTCAGGAAAGGGATTTCCGGCTCTTTCTTCCAAGAGAAAACTGTGGGACAGCTCCAGAGGCAGTGCCTGCTCTGTCCTTGTTCCTTCTCCTCTCTGCCCCAGTCCACCAGGAGGGCATTTCCTGTTGCCACCGCTCATTTCCTCTGCACCTGTCCAGGGACTCCGAGCTGTGGGGCACAGAAGCAGCCCGGGGCGCCCTAGATCTTGTGATGGAAGCACAAGCCCCAGCAAGCAGCCTTAGAGCCCCCGGCTTTCTGGCTCGCTGGGGAGGCTGTGTCTCTATCCAGAGGTGATGGTTTCTCTTTTTTTTTCCTCCCCTCCCCTGTTGCTCTAGGTGGAGAATTCAGGGGACCCATGGGAAAATTTCCAAAACAACCAGGCCCTTACGTACTGGGAATGTGTCTACCTGCTCATGGTCACCATGTCCACTGTGGGTTACGGGGATGTTTATGCAAAAACCACACTCGGACGCCTCTTCATGGTCTTCTTCATCCTCGGGGGACTGGTAAAATCCCTTTATTTTCATGTTCACTTTTATGGTCTTTAACATTTTCTATGATCCACTTCCTTAAGGCTTTGAAGTTTTATATTCCATGTGTCTGCCCTAACAGCAAGTGACTGCCTTAGGTTTGCAGTCAGGCTAAGTAAACCAGAACATGACAGCGACGTCTTTGTCCATTTCTTTGGTGCGTCATGCTTGTTCTGTAGATCCAGGTATATTGCCCTTGTTAGGGTCAGCCAGTTAGCAGGTAGCCAGCCTGACTATCTTATGAAAGGGGTGCTGTGAGTAACCGAAAGCCCTTGTCCCTTAGTAATGCAATTCAGCGTCTGACATTCTACAAGGACAGCTGCCGTCCCCTGACCCTGGTAGGTGTTAGTATTCCACAGACAGTTTGCGGTTTCCCAGAGCTCGCTTTCCCTTGAAGCCCTCCACCCCTCAGACTTCCAACAAACACTGTGGCTGGTGCCTGCCCTGAGGAGAGGAGCCCCGACGTCAGAGGAGGGTGACGCTTGGTCCTGTCCAAGAGCTCCTCAGCAGGAGCAGAGCAGGGCCTTGCCCACACCTTTCTGCTCTGCAGTACCATGCAGGAGCTTTCTCCTCCCCTGGTATAGGCCAAAAAGTTGCACTATTTGCTTGACTGATTCAGAGCTGCTTCTGCAGCTCTAAATCATCCGCTATGATTAATTCAAAGGGATTTCTGGCAACCCACTGAGGGTTCAAAGTAGTTCATTTGAAGTTTAATTTTTGTTAAGGTAAGTGAGTGAAGTCCTGATGTGCACACAGCCTTTGTGTGCAGACAGTGCACACACACGTTTACACGAAGGGGTGCGTACACGCCACGCTGCTCTGCAGGCAGAGGCTGTCTGCATTTCAAAGAATGTGCCTACACACTGCGTGTGCCCCAGTGGGAGCACTTCCTTTCTGGAGACTTCCAGGCCCCCAGAGCTCAGGAGACCCCGTGCATCCAGCCACAGAACGATGTTTGTTGGACAAAACATGGCAGATTTGTGTTTTTCCTCTCTGTCCTTTCCTTTTGTGTGATCTCCCGCATTTACCTTTCATGGTTTTTAGTGATTTTTTTTAAATGTTTATTTTTAAAATCTTTCACTGTGTATTGTCTCTAGTCCCTCATAGAGGTACTGGTTTTCTTAATTTTAACTAGAGGGAAAAGTTTTTGCACAAAAATGCAGGTGTGTGTGCATGTGCGTGCGAGTGTGTATATGTCTCTCTGTGTGTGTGGTATCTTTCACGTGCACACAACTTTTTTTTTTTTTGCCTATTTTTCTTTAGGCAGAAGAACTAGATGCCAGCTTATTTATTCCTGTCTCCTTTTTTTTTTTTTTTTTTTTTTTTTCTTTTTCTCCACTGTGTTGTTTTTTCTTTTCTATTTTGCCCCCAGTGGTTCTGGTTGGCTAATGTGTGTTTTGTCCCGTGTGTCTTCAGGAACTCGCCCCTTTTTGTCCTTTTACTTTTTAATAGTCCAGCATATTAATAGACACCTTCACAGGCCGAATCCTTTTGTGCTTTCAGATCTTAGTCTCCCTTCTAAAAGGTCACCCCCTTTCTTGGGCCTGTCTTTTTAGTCTCTCTTCTGTCTCCCCTCTTTTTCTCAGGCCATGTTTGCCAGCTACGTCCCTGAAATCATAGAGTTAATAGGAAACCGCAAGAAATACGGGGGCTCCTATAGTGCGGTTAGTGGAAGAAAGTAAGTATACCCAGAGGCTTTGCTGCCCCCGCTGTGGTAGAATCCTCTCTGCATGCCATTTTGTTTTTGGCTCTTGTTTCTTTGTCTCATGCATGTAGGCAATGTTTGCCCGCTACGTGCCCGAAATTGCGGCTCTCATCCTGAATCGGAATAAATTCGGCGGGACTTTTAACAAACATGGAGGCAGAAAGTAAGTCAGTTGTGCCAGACAAGATGTGCTTGAGTGACTTTCAAAAGTCCCTGGGGCGGTGACATTGACTCCTGCTCCCCAACCCCACCTGGGTGGGTGTGATGTCAGAGGGACCCCAGAAAGTTGTCACCTCAGCCTGGATCCTTAGGTTTTGCTGCTATGTGCAGTGCCCAAGTGACCTCAAGGATTTAATTTCCAAGAGCTGCCTATATAACTGGGCCCGTATTTTCCCTGCGACCTTTGACACAGGACCCGAGTTCATTCAGTCTTGACATCCACTGGTTGGGTCCCTCTAAGTACAGTGCGGTCATCCTATGATGGATTTTGTGCACCAGTAGTAGCAGGCCAACCTAGCAAGGAGGTCCAGGTAGTCCTGCTTACTGTACAGGCCTGGTGGGCATCTGGGACCCGTTCGCTACAGAAAGGAGTTTCGCTCCAGATCACACCGCTTAGGGCCTCATTACTTGGTTGAGATCCCTTCTGGCTGGGACACACAGTGTTTAGCGTGTCGGGATATCGCCAATGCCTTCTCATGGGAGGGTCTTTCATGTGGCTTCCCAAACATGAACGCTTTCTTCCTGGAAACGAGTTCGCTCTGCGCTCACTTGATCAGTATCGGTAGCGATGTGCAGGCCAGCATCAAGTGGAAGTCCTACCTTTACTCACGCGCAGGGCCTTCCCTTACCCGTCCTCTGTCAGAGCAGGGTTTCAAGAGATGATACTGGAGGGAGGTGGGACTGGCAGGATCTGACTTTCTTGTACTTAATTTGAAAGGTTTTGGGGAGGGTGGTGTTCAGGTTTGTTTGATATTTTCGAGGTCTCATTTCTGTGGAGTCAAATGTGTGTCTCTTACTGCAAAGCTCCAACAGTGGGCACCTGCCCATGCCCCAGTCACTACCACCCTGCCAGCCAGGTCAACATTTGCAAAATCACCACAGTTCGTGTTCCTTCCTGGTCATGGTGCTGTTCAGATATGCTTCTCTTCATTTATCTTTAAGGGATGAGCTTATTTTGTATTTCTGAGAAAAATTTAAAAAACCCAGCTGGTAACACCGTATTTCCCCCCATTGCCATCTCCTCCTGTCTGGACAGGTGGCCGTGCCGGGAGGGGTGGACTCTCCCGCCCCTCTGGTCCACCATTCCAAGGCCTCCTGAGCTCAGGTGGCCAAGCCCCTGTCCAGAAAATGAGGAGATGGAATAAAGGGCTCATTTTCTTGAACTAGCCGCAGGACACCAGTTTCCGATAGAAGGCCCAGAGGACAGCGGGTGAGAGAGAAGAGGCCAGTTGGCGGCTCTTCCGTGGAGGTAGTGCCCGTCCTTCTATCTTCCTGCTAATGGGCCCCTCCCCTGCCCATTATCTTAACAGCCCTGGATGAGGTTGGAACCAAGCTGTTCTGATTTCTGGGCCACTGGCAGGATCCAAAAGGCCAAATACGTCCGGACATTCCTCTTGGTCCTTCAGCCCATGCCAAGAGGAAAACGGCTGCTCGACTCGCTCTGCCCATAAGATGTGGGTGGGTTGCCCTCCCAGAGACCCTACTGCAGGGGCCCAGGGTCTCTTTCTGGCCTCCCCATCCTGCTCCCTCAGCTGGCAGCTCCTTCCCACTGCCTCTGAAGAAGTCAACAAAATCAATTAGTCTGCAGCCTATGTTGAAAATATTTCTTGCCTCTTATTTCAGGCTGAATTTCACCTCCCCCCCGCCCCAAAAAAATGGCGTTCCTGCTCCAGTGTGGGTGGGCTGGTGGCTGGCAGATTTTGTTGATGGGTGGCCCTGGGGCCACTGCCCCCCACTCGAACCCCACCTGCTGATAGCTGCAAATCACAGACTTCCTGCAGTGTTGTTCTGGCTCTGTAATCTTTTATCACCACTTTTAGCCTGGTTTCTTGTGCACCGTCTTTTTTTCTTCCTCCTTCATGAAAACGTACTTTGTTTTTAATGTTCTCTTTGGGTCTCCAATGTCCCCCGACCCTGCGGACAGAAAGTCAGCCCTGTGATCCACACCGGGACCGTTCACTTTACTTTACGCATTGTTTCCTGGTTCAAAAGCTAATTACTAAGTAGTTTAAAGAAGCCCTTTGGTCACTTAGATCTTTCATCAGAAATATAAGCTTGGGAAAGGATTGGTAATAAAGAGCCATTAACACCCTTTGTTTGATGTTGTTTTTCCAGTCAGTAGAACAAGATTGATGAAATGTTATGTTTGGCCAAAATTTGAGTTTTCATTTGGAATTCAGTGTTGAGAGAATGGACTGTCAGAATCAATAAGTTTTCTTTCGCTGGGGATCTGGGCATGTGGTAGTAATTAGCAATATAAGGTCTTTAGTTGAGCAACCAAGCCTGGATTCTGGCAGCCAACATAATGAGAAACTACAGTTGTTCTATTTCTAACGTCAGAAAGTTTCCAGATAAAATTAAATGCATTTGCAAAAGGAAAGCAGCTAAACTTTGTTGAAAGTTAAAGAGTTCAGGCTCTTAAAATAGCACGCAGCATTCCCAGTTTTTGTGTAGGCAGAAATATATGTTCAACTTGGGGACAAATATCCGTACACTCGAGCCCCAGAATGGATCAAGTGAATGCCCAGAAGATAATGAGAACATACACAGCGTTCAGGGGTGTGTTTGCAAGTGTGTATTTTACTCAGCAGTAACCTTTCTGACAATCTATTAACTTATCAGGAATCTCAGGGTAACTCAGGATCCCAAACTACAGACACACAAAAGTTTTGAAATTCAAGGATCGTTCAATGTGAAAGTTAAAAAAAAAATGTTAGGCAGAGAAGCTCAAGGTTTTATTTATACAATACTCAAAAATTCAGGATATTGGAAGATATGAAAATTTCCTTGGCCCTTCATTTCCGGTTGTAATCACAGTGTCTGGCATACTGTAAATATTGTGCACAGCATTCCTAAGACATCCTACCACCCATCCCACACCACGCCTTGCCCCTAGGTTTTTATCACTTCTTACAGGACTTCCATAGCCAGCAGTGGGTGCGGATACACGTGTGTGTGCATGCACGTGTGTGTGCGTCCTGGCTGTTCTCACACTTTTCTTACTGTTGCATATTAAGGCTCGTAAGAATAGGCACTTGGATGTTAAGGGGTCAACGGAATGGTGGAAGCAAACCATTTCTCTAAGTTGATCGTATTGGAGACAGTTAAGTTCTTAGGCTGAGATCCTAAGTTTTATTAAGAAGAGAAGCCCACCTGCAGACCAGCCTGCTCCCACAGCTATGGCCGGCCTCCCTTTCTTTCCCTTCCTTTAAAGTCAAAGCTGCCCAGAGGTGGGGAACTGGGGGAGAGGGAGCAGGCAGTGAGGCTCCCATGGCCTTTGGGTCCCCAGCTCCTGCTCCTTCCTCCCATAGCCCCTTCCAGTCCCCTCGTCCCTCCAGAGGTTCTGTTTCTGAGCAGGATTTGTGCCACTCCTGGTTAGTTTATAAGAACTGACAAGATCATGGTCCGAGGTCACATGGCCAAGGGCCATGGAAAATAATTGGCCACAGAGAGGCTTCCATGTGCTGTAAGCCCCTGGTTAGAGGCAGCCAGCTGGGGAGCCATCCAGCCCTTGTGCTTCCCATGATAGGGCATCAGTGGCCTCCGATTAAGGCTGACCTAGACCAGGTGTTTGGGACAGACAGATGGGTTGGGCTTGGATTGCTGTATTGTACTTTGATATCCAGGTGCTGAGGAAACACACAGAAAATAATGACCAATGAAAGATAAGCAGTAGGCAGAAGAGAACAGAAGAGAGAAGGAGATGAAGACAGAATAAAGGTCCCCAGGACCAGAATGTCACCGCTTCATTCTGGCTTGGAGAAACCTTATTACAGACCAACCCATCTCTTGCTCCAGTTCAGGACTGCCCCTTACCCCAAGCCCAAATGCTGCATGCAGGTGCCTTGGAAGTACTGCACGATTTTATGTAAAGCACATGAATAGCATCAAACTTGGGCATTTGGATGGTCCTGGAGCTCTGGCCTGAGAATGCGGGTATGAGGGGCATACGTCTTCTTCTTTGGCTCTAGCTTGCCTGACCTGCAAGGAGAGGGCCTTCTGTATATGCTCTCCCTCTTGGTTTCGGTTTTGGTTTCTGTTTGTGTTTATGTCTCTGTCTCTCTGTCTCTGTCTCTGTCTCTGTCTCTGTCTCTCTCTCTCTCTCTCTCTCTCTCTCTCTCTCTCTCTCTCAATTATTGGGTCCCCTTTCATCCAGATCTTTCCTCTCTTCAGAAAGACGCCACTCCTATCACTTATGTCCTGTCTTCTTCGCTGAGCCCTTGCTCTCTGTACTGTTTTCTGCCTGGCTGTCTCTGATCAGGGTTCTCCCCTGTCTTCAGACTCTGCCCACCATGGTTCTAAGACCAATTTTAAAGGATTTAGAGTTATGAAGGTTCTGCGGTGTCAGAACATGGATTATTTCCTAACAAACGACTCCTATAGTGCACCCCACTATGGTCTGCCCCACCTCAGCGACACTTAACATGAGTTCTAGCTTTGTGATCAGCCCTTCACTCGTGTTTATTGTTTGCCAGGCACTAGGGACAGCTGGGTTTCTGCACACCCATCCAGACTTCCAGATGCGCCACAACTTTTGCTCTTGGGCTACATTTTTACTGTTTGGCCACCTCAGTGTCTGGGAGAGTCAACCTCAGAGCTTATTTAATTAAACACTCCTGGTTCCCAGTGGTGTGAGTGCTCACCCAGCGCCTCACCCTTCTTTGCTTTTGCTGGGAAGCCTCTGCCTGTGGCACTTGGGCGCAGGATTCATTGTGATTCATGTGGTGTTGACTTGGGCCGAGCCCACAGGCCGG